ACATACATATATACATACATATATACATATATATATACATACATATATATACATACATATATATATATATATGTATATATATATATATATATATATATATATATATATGTGTGTGTGTGTGTGTGTGTGTGTGTGTGTGTGTGTATATGTATGTATATACACACACACACAATACCCCCACCCTCTGTAAAGATATATTGGTGTATATGTGATTAATCAAAATCAGTTAAATGTGAATGTTAGTTTTCCTTATTCAATAAATCTGCTGTCACATTTCAGGATCTGGTTATTAGACACAGATTAAATGTTCAATATGAATATTCCTATATTTATCACCACAGTAATGGTGTTACACACATGAGTAGTTGTAAACACTCTAAATAATACATATATTGGTTTAGTTCTTACCTTTAACATAAACATTTAAGCAGTAAACATTTTTAATAATCACTTCAGAAGTTATAAATGTTGTCTTTGGTGCCGGTTTGTTTTCCAAATTTATTATTGTGTATGAATGACAGACATAAAACACTTTCTAGAACGGTGCTTTATAAAGTTCAGTCTATTTCCTTCTATCAGTTGACCGGTAGTTCTGCCACATCCAATATGGCGGCCGCTCTGATGTTTCGCTGCAACGGGTCAGCCCACTCAACAAGGTGTCCACTAACTGTCTCACCAGTTCTCTGTTGTGAATGCCCTGGTAGATGACAGTAGCCAATCAGTGATGGAGAAAGGTCAGGGGAGCTTTGCTTTGAAATAATGATGAATAATTGTTTGAAACGTGTTTAATAGGTTAACTCAAAAACCACCGATCTGACTCCAAATCTGCCCAAATTATCTCCACCTGCCCAAAGCAATTTGTACCAGCAAAATCAGAATGAAAACCGCCCAATCTGGCAACACTGGTTTTCAGTAGGAAGTTCACTGAAAATAAATCATGTTTGTCCAGCAGGTGGCAGTGTGTTCCCATAAAAGGCTTACAAACAGACAACAGCTAAAGGCTCAGGACATGTGAGCCACCAAGCTAAATGCAGACATCTGATGCTAGAACTGAGGAGACGACGGCGTTAAAAGCTCCTTCACTTCCTGTTCTCAAGAAAAGATTCAGAGTTTAAACATAATTTAACTTGCCAACATTTTTCAGTCAGGTCATCTGGGCAGTTTCTTTTTTTGTGCTGAAACATTTTGCCTTCGATCCAGAAGGCTTCATCAGTCAAGGAAACACACAACAAAACTGATTCTTCCCCCAACAGCTTACTCCAAAGTGGAACAAACCAGTTCTGCTTGTGATAAGATGGTCTCTTTGGTACGCCCCCTCCTCCATTGCCGGCCCTCTTCTGCCGGACCTGACAGAAAAATGTTGGATTGTATACCTGGATTATTGAGCATGGACTTTGTTGTTATAATTTAACTTGATTAAGGCCTTGATGTGCACTCTCTGCATTCTGGCAGGATTTCTGAAAAACCGAGTCAAAGATACACTGATGGAAGGAAGACTAAAATGTTTTTGTGTTAATGGGCAATGTGTAAAAAGTTGTTTGCAAAACATTAAAACTAATTAAAGAGCTCAACATTCTGAGTGTGTGACAACATTTACGCCTTCTGTCGAGAGTTTAATAAAAAATTATGAAGCCTAAATTGAAATTGTGTAAAAATCCTGAAATATATGAAAGTGACAGTTCAGGTGTGTAACTTCTAACTTTCAGTGATGAAGTCTGTCTGAGCTCCAGAGCTTCACACATCACGGACCTTTCTTGTTGTGTCCAAATCTCACAGATCATTTCTTTCACATTTTGTCTCAGACTCATTACCAAAAGTCTCAGCACAACATTCCCAGTCCAGCTGTGTCTGTTGGTTATGGTGATGCAATGGCACCTTAAAAATCACCAAACAGCAGATAGAACTGTCAGGCGTCTTGCTCTTCATGTGTTTAATGTCTTGTGCTTTCTTGTGGGTTTTGGAGATAATGCATGATTGTAGAAGCCCACGTTACCTTTGCGGTTCATCCCCATCTGCAGGCACTTGAGCAGACGGCAGTACTGGCAACGGTTGCGCTGCTTGCGTGACATCTCGCAGTTTTTGTCGCGGCTACAGCGATACACCCGCTTGTTGCAGATGCTGCGCTTGAAGAAGCCCTTGCAGCCCTCACAGGAGATGATGCCATAGTGCAGGCCTGTGGCCCGATCCCCACAGATGAGGCAAGTACGCTGGTCAGCTGCATCATCTGCACATGGGAGGAAAAAGAAGTGGAGGGGAAAGGGTTTAGAACTATTTCCACCTACTGCTTTGCTGATATTCACCCACACTATAAAAAGGGGTCATGGAAGAATCAGTGTCTGTAAAAACCATGCTCAAGGCACAACTTTTGAATTGTGATCATAGGAGAGGTTGGAGCTGAAGGTGGAGCCAGGAGCTGGTAATTCAGAGCATTCTTAAGCTCTGACTGGTTTTGTAAGAAGTATGTGTAACAGGAACTGAGACGTCTTTGCTGTGTTTTATTCAGCAACCCTCATGAGCCAAGATGACCAGTTACAGTCTCTTCTCTTAACAGCAGCAGCATCACATGAAGGTGCATCATTTTCTGCAACATGTACACCTGCGTGAAGTCCCCCCCCCCCCACACACACACACACAACACATACACACCTTCTTCAGATCTAACGAGATTGATGTCAAAAGTTTGTGCTGGTTAATGCAGCAAAAATGTTTGTTTGTGCCGCCATCACTTTCAAGACATTAATAAAAAAGTTTCCAGGGGTCATCAGAGGTCAACCAGCACGCCACATTTACTAAATCCAAAGAAAATAGTGTCAATAAACTCTACTGCGTTTGTGCTGCTTGTGCTTTCAACATGGATTACTGAAAGTTTAAAAGTAAAGAGGTCAACCAGACCCTCTGCCCACACCCGACCCTGACCCAACGGACAGATTTTCATTGACCTTTGATGACCTCTAGAAACTTTTACTAATATCTTTGAAATGATGGTGGCACCAAAAAAAATTTACTGCATTAACGCTTGATCCCAGTTTTGTTAGATGAGTAATGGGGGTGGGGCTGGTTGACCTTTTGACCTTTAAACTTTCATTAATATCCTCAAAGCAAAAGCAGCACAGACAGAAATATTTGCTGCACAAACTATCCTGATGCATGCTCAACAACACAGGTAGAAAAATCTAAAGAAGATAAGTCTGGTCCTCTGGACGGGTTCAAAAAACAAAATAATGTAGAAACGTTTTGTCTTTCATCCAAGAGACTTCCTCAGTCTGAGGTGCTGTATTCAGCTCAGTCTCTTAAATAGCACCTTCTCAGAGTGGATCAACCAGTTTGCTGCTGACAACCAGAACCAGCTGATCACATGATCAAGAAGGACCATCAGCCTAAAAATGGATCATTAGCACCTGATGGCTGTTTACTACTCTGGCTTCAAATCTCTCCATAGCACTGAAACTGCTCTACTGAAGGTTTTTAACGACATTTTCATATCCAAAGACGCAGGTGATTCTGTGCTGCTTGTCCTATTGGACCTGACATCTGCTTTTGACACCATCGACCACAAGATCCTCATTTCCAGACTGGAGCAATGGGTGGGCATCACAGGGTCAGCCCTTAAATGGTTTGGGTCCTACCTCTCTGACAGAACCTTCTGTGTCAATATCAAAGATTTTAGTTCGGCATCGACAGCGCTCCAGTGGGGGGTACCGCAGGGGTCCATCCTCGGTCCCCTTCTCTTTTCTTTATACCTGCTGCCACTAGGTGCTATCTTCCGCAAACACGACATACCCTTTCATTTCTACGCCGATGATTGTCAAATTTACTTCCCCCTGAGGCACAGAGGCACACGCTCTATTCAGCCTCTTCTTGACTGCCTGGCTGACATCCGGGACTGGATAGCTTTAAACTTCTTAAGCTTCAATGAGAAGAAGTCTGAGGTCATGCTGTTCCATCCCAGTGGCTCACTCATGAACCATGACATTGACCTTTTCTCTCAAGCCCCACTAGAGAAACAAAAGGTGACTAATCTGGGGGTGATAATGGACCCATCCTTAAAACTCAACAGTCACATAAACATGATGGTCAAATCCTGTTTTTTTCAGCTGAGACGGCTGTCTATGCTGAAGCCTATACTCTCCAAAAAGAACCTTGAGACAGTGATCCACGCCTTCATAACATCCAGGCTTGATTACTGCAATTCACTTCTGTTTGGAATCAGTCAGTCCTC